TGGTCACCGGTGAACTGTTGCCTGCAGGAGGGGCTGACAAGGTGCTCGCCTCAGTAGTGGCCCCAGGTGTGGTGGTGGCAGGTTCGGTGGTTGTTGGTGTGCTCTCTCCACCAGGAGCGGTTGAAAACGTGGTGGCGCCTACAGGAGTGCTAGGGGAAGATCTGCTCTGAGTGGATGTAGTCACTGTTGAGCTGGTGCCCGCAAGAGCTGTTGACGGGGTCCTGGCCACGGTAGTGGCCCCACTTGTGGCGGTCACAGGCTCGGAGGTTGATGGCATGCTTTCTCCACCGGGTGAGGTTGAAGGCGTGGTGGCGCCTCCAGGAGTGATAGGGGAGGAAGTGGCCTGAGTAGAAGTGGCCACCAGTGAGCTGGTGCCTGCAGGAGCGGTTGCTGGCGTGCTGGCCTCGGTCGTGGTCCCAGGTGTGCTGGTGGCAGGCTGAGTGGTTGATGGAGTGCTTCCTCCACCAGGAGTGTTTGAGGATGTGGTGGAGCCTGCAGGAGCAGTAGGGGCGGAAATGCCCTGAACAGACGTGGTCACCGGTGAACTGGTACCTGCTGGAGGAATTGACGGGGTGTTGGCCTCAGTAGTGGCCCCAGAGGTGGGGGTGGCAGGCTGAGTGGTTGATGGTGTGCTTTCTCCACCAGGAGTGGTTGAAGGCCTGCTTGCACCTCCAGGAATGGTAGAGGAGAAACTGGACTGAATAGATGTGGTTACCAGTGAGCTGCTGCCTCCAGCAGCAGTTGACAAGGTGCTGGCCTCCGTAGTGGCCCCAGGCGTGGTGGTGGCAGGTTCGGTGGTTGATGGCATGCTCTCTCCACCAGGAGCGGTTGAAAACGTGGTGGTGCCTACAGGAGTGGTAGGGGCGGATCTGCCCTGAGTAGACGTGGTCACTGGTGAGCTGGTGCCCACATGAGCGGTTGACGGGGTGCTGGCCTCCGTAGTGGCCCCACTTGTGGTGGTCAGAGGCTCGGAGGTTGATGGCATGCTTTCTCCACCGGGTGAGGTTGAAGGTGTGGTGGCACCTCCAGGAATGGGAGGGGAGAAACTGGCCTGAGTAGACGTGGTCACCAGTGAGCTGGTGCCCGCAGAAGCGGTTGTTGGCGTGCTGGCCTGGGTAGTGGCCCCAGGTGTGCTGCTGGCAGGCTCAGTGGTTGATGGTGTGCTTCCTCCACCAGGAGCAGTTGGGGATGTGGTGGTGCCTCCAGGAGCAGTAGGGGAGGAAATGCCCTGAATAGACATGGTCACCGGTGAACTGGTACCCGCCGGAGGAATTGATGGGGTGCTGGCCTCAGTAGTGGCCCCAGGCGTCGGGGTGGCAGGCTGAGTGGTTGATGGTGTGCTTTCTCCACTGGGAGTGGTTGAAGGCCTGGTTGCACCTCCAGGATTGGTAGAGGAGAAACTGGACTGAATAGACTTGGTTACCAGTGAGCTGCTGCCTACAGCAGCAGTTGACAAGGTGCTGGCCTCCGTAGTGGCCCCAGGCATGGTGGTAGCAGGTTCAGTGGTTGATGGCGTGCTCTCTCCACCAGGAGCGGTTGAAAACGTGGTGGTGCCTGCAGGAGTGGTAGGGGCGGATCTGCCCTGAGTAGACGTGGTCACTGGTGAGCTGGTGCCCGCAGGAGCAGTTGATGGGGTCCTGGCCTCGGTAGTGGCCCCACTTGTGGCGGTCAGAGGCTTGGAGGTTGATGGCATGCTTTCTCCACCAGGTGAGGTTGAACGTGTGGTGGCACCTCCAGGAATGGGTGGGGAGAAACTGGCCTGAGTAGACGTGGTCACCAGTGAGCTGCCCGCAAAAGCGGTTGTTGAAGTGCTGGCCTGGGTAGTGGCCCCAGGTGTGCTGCTGGCAGGCTCAGTGGTTGATGGTGTGCTTCCTCCACCAGGAGCAGTTGAGGATGTGGTGGTGCCTTCAGGAGCAGTGGGGGAGGAAATGCCCTGAATAGACATGGTCACCAGTGAACTGGTGCCCGCAGGAGGGGTTGACAATGTGCTGGCCTCAGTAGTGGCCCCAGGTGTGGCGGTGGCAGGCTTGTTGGTTGATGGTGTGTTTCCTCCAACAGGAGAGGTTGAATGCGTTGGGGCACCTCCGGGAGTGATAGGGGAGGAAGCGGCCTGAGTAGACATGGCCACCAGTGAGCTCGTGCCTGCAGGAGCAGTTGCTGGCGTGCTGGCCTCGGTCATGGCCCCAGGTGTGCTGGTGGCAGGCTGAGTGGTTGATGGTGTGCTTCCTCCACCAGGATTGGTAGAGGATGTGGTGGAGCCTGTAGGAGGAGTAGGGGAGGAAATGCCCTGAATAGTCGTGGTCACCGGTGAACTGGTGCCCGCAGGAAGGGTTGACAATGTGCTGGCCTCAGTAGTGGCCCCAGGTGTGGCAGTGGCAGGCCCTGTGGTTGATGGCATGCCTCCTCCACAGCGTGAAGTTGAAGACGTTGTGAAGCCTCCAGGAGCGGTCAGAGAGGAACTGGCCTGGGTAGCGGTGTTCCCCAGTGTGGTTGTAGGATCCCCAGATGTTAAACACGTGTTGGTTGCAGACCTGTTCATAGAGTTATTTGTGAGAAATGGCTCTCTGGATGTATTCCTCCCTTTACTCTGTTTTGATATGGGTGTGGTGGTGTCTTCAGAAGTTGTAGGAGATGAAGGGTCTTCAGCAGAATCTCGGAGAGGTGTGGTGCTGTCATTGTTAGATTTTGAGGTTGTGCCTGGGTCTACTGATGTCAACCCAGGACTGGAGACACCAGGAGTGTCTGAATGCATGCTGGTCTCATCGGAGGTCATCTCAGGGGTGGGCGGGTTTCTCGAACCAAGTCCCGTCATCGCGAGGTTTGTAAGTGTTTTACCTATGGCGGTGTTCACCACAGAACCTGTTTAAGATACAATGACATTTTCTTTAGGAGTTTCTTAGGGTTCTCTACGTCAGGAGTGATTGTTGTAGTGGGCTTTTTCCTGAACATGTGTTCAGAGGAGTGATGTCATTATCCCTATTCAGGATGAAGTGGAGTCCGTTTCTCCAGTGCCTTAGTCTCTCCTGCCCATAGTTCTACACCATTAGGAGTTGAACTCAACCCGAACCCTCTTTCTTGCACAGTCCCTGCCTGCGTCACTTCCACACCTGCCTGTCTTTCCTGGCCACAGATCTCAAGCTGTCACACACTGTACAATCTGGGGGCTTCACCAGCCTGGCAGGGGTCACTCCAGTCTTTCGCAGGTGGGCCACCTTCCCAGATCTTGGAGTCTGTCTCCTTACCTGTCTGTTGGCTCCAAGACAGCTGCCGGCACTGTAGGCTCTGGGGGCCCTCTTGGGAGACACACCCCCCTCCATCCCACACAGTGCTGTTCATGCCAAGGTCTGAAAGAGACAAAGGGGAGTTAGTCTCCAGAACCAGTATCCTCTTTCATTCTCTTGAAGCTTCTGAGTCTGTACTCCCTGCCCTGGAAAGTCCCTGGCCCCTGGACCAGCATGCCGATTTCAGTTAGAAATCAGCCATATCAGGACCCTGCCCTTAGAAGTAAAGGAAGAAGATGGGGCAGGGGGTTTGCTCCCTATCCTGGGGGAGGCCCAGGAATGTCATATTGTGCAGGTAACAGGTGCTTATAGTCCCAGCACTTTGGGAGGCTGGGGCGAGAGGGTCGCTTGAGCCCAGGCGTTCAAGGCTGCAGTGAGCTGTGGTTGCACCACTGCACTCCAGCCTAGGTGACAGAGTGAAACTCTATCTCTATAAAATTTAAAATATTAGCTGGGGATGGTGGCACACACCTGTAGTCTCAACTACTGCAGAGGCTGAGACAGGAGGATCACTTGAGCCCAGGAGATCATGTTCATAATGAACTATGATGGCACCCCTGCACTCCAGCCTGGGTGACAGAATGAGACCTTGTCTCTTAAATAAATAAATATTTTTAAAAGAGAGAATATGGCCTATTAGAATAACATGCCAACTGGCTGGGCGCGGTGGCTCATGCCTGTAATCCCAGCACTTTGGGAGGCCAAGGCAGGCGTATCACGAGGTCAGGAGTTCGAGATCAGCCTGGCCAACATGGCAAAATCC